GTATTACTAGGAATCGACTGTGAACGCACTGAATTTCTTCAAATGATTGACACATTTGCTGAAGACATTCAGCGTGCTGACTTAACATTTTTCTATTTTTCTGGTCATGGAAAGCAATATGAAAATGAAAATTATTTGCTATCATCCGATTACGATTATGATTATAGTACGAGAGAATCTACCTATTTAGTGGACAAAGCTATTAGTGTACAATACATCATGAAGAAAATATATGATAAATACAGTCGTGTAACGATATTCATATTCGATTGTTGCAGAAAAAATGTCCGAACTAAAGGAGATGATAATCAACAAGGTTTATCACCTATGCATGCACCACCAGAAACTCTAATTACATATGCTTGTGCACCAGGTGCAGTAGCAATCGACGAATCACGAAATGGTAGAAACGGTTATTTTGTTGAATACTTGTTAAAACACATTGCGACACCTAATAATGATATTGAAGATGTTTTGAAGATTGTTGCTCGTGAAGTTAAATTACAAACTGCTGGTTTTCAACTGCCCTATCGAACAAGTTCTCTCACGGAGAAAGTCTGCTTCGTAACATCAAATGTTCAAGGTTAGAATATGTTCTTCAAAGCTTTACTTCCTATCAGAATAAATCAAAGCATGACATTGAGTTACCATCACTACTAACGAAAATGTATATTACATACAAGTAGAGTATTCATGAAGAATAATTCAGAGATAGGACGGTCAGGAACTTTTATGATTGGTATCAGTACCATTTTGACTTGCTCGGACTGAACCGATCGGTGAACGGCTAGTCTACTTATAGTGATAGGTATATCGATAATTTATAGGTATTAGAAAAAGAATAGGTTTAGAAATTGAAAATTTGTTATACGTATCATGAGACGTGCATGAGCTTCAAAGCCATATCATATAAATATCTGATTAATTCATATAATTCTTCAAAACAGTATAATTATGACAACAATACTAGACGAAACTGATCCGACGAGGTCACACCGAACTGAACCGATCGGTTTACTTCCATGTGACCAGTATATTGACCACTAATTGTCAGAATAAAAGGTACTCTTTACCAATATTATCGTTACTGCAAAGGCTTTTCTTAGCACGTTGGTAACTTATCTATTTAAACTAGATAATGTTTATATTCCCTGCAGTTTTCTATAAGACTAGTGTACTTAGTTCGACAAATCTTTCTAATACATGTAGCACAAAAAAAAAAGAGTAAACAGGTACGTGGTTCTTCAACCGATAACCAGTCCATTCAATATCTGTATGGGTATTGAACGGAACTGATGAATTATTGGTGATTATTTCATCGTTGGACTAGGTAACTTTTTGAAATTGAAATCAGTTTTAATACATTGCCGAGTTTTGATAAACCTCTTGTATCTTAACTTTCCGCTGAGCTTTTGCAATTATTGAAATTAAATTAAATATTTTGTTCTACACAAATCGGTCATTTTACTGAGAAAAGAGAAAATTATTGAATAATTAGGCTTGTCGTTATGGCCCTTCAAGTCCAAGGGTGTGGGTGCGGAGCAATGTAACTTATTCACGGACACCCACATCCTTATTTCATAATTATATGATTGTATGAATATATTCGCCGAATTTATTTTTCAGTTTCAGAAAGTTTAAGTCAGTCTAATGGAACTTATCTGGATATGAAATCTACAGTGGAAATGAACAAAAAAATAATATCATGTCTCGATTCTTCCTGTCAACAGGCTGCTGATGAAGCCCA